CCCATCGCTGTTGTATGTCAGCCGGCAGGCATCTCACTATCGCTTCTAGGGTGTGCAAGCATTCAAATCTGCTTCGTAACTCATTTGAGTCAAGGCAATAAGCAGTTCTGCATCTCCATTAGCAGTCGCACCAACGACTCGGGTTTGTTCCTTGCTTTGCGTGCCTCGGCCAGCACCCCATCCATGAGTGTCCGTGCCGCATGGAAAGGTTGACCGAACAATTCCTTTAGAATATCCCTCGCTCGGATATACCCCAGTTCGTTCGGTAGCATGACGCATTCTTCAATAGCATCTCGGGCCTTCTCGCGGCAATAATGCCTCAAGTACTTCCGTCCTGGATCGGAGACCCGACAGTCGACGAAGGTATCAAACCCTCTGATAAATCTCCAGTAGTTATTGGGGTTCCCGTCAAATGGCGTAAGCTCCAATTTGGGCAGATCTATCGAGGGGTGGCAGTACACTATTTCAGTCGGTGGGTGAGCCGCTCCCGGCGTAAAACTAAGGGGTAGGGTCTGGTCCTCCGCCGCGGCGTGCATAGCCAAGCCTGACTGCCTAGCCTTCAATTCCCTAAACTTCATCGATCAAATTTCCTGCTCTAACTCTATCAATCTTACGGAGATATCAATCAGAAATCTTAACGTCAGCATGACAATTTAAGGTACATAAACTCCTAGCATTAACAGGGCTGACTGAATTAAAAATGTGAGAATCAGAAACCCCCTCGAATTCCCCAGTGACTTGCCGGGTTACTTCCTGTCCCTCCTCCTCGATCCTTCCTTCGTCGAACGTCATTCTCTTGATCCAAATTGTGCGAATTTTGAGTACTGTACTTTCGAATAGATCAACGAGCAACGCGTAGCCGAAATCGGATTCCAAAACTTCAACAAAACGAACGATCCGGCAAATTTCTACGGTACTGCATTATTAAACGATCGAATAAGCAAATAAAAACTGTACAAACCTCAAAGTGATCTCGAAACAACTTGAAAACAAGAGCCAAGTGTTACTGTGAGCGTAATTCAACAAATCTGAATG